ATTACTTTAAGCAGGCCAAGACAGCAGCCTTCAAATTTTTATCCATCCGACATTCGCATCCCTTTATTAATAAATATCACAATAATTGGAAAATTAATTCAGAGAAGCTAACAATTACTTAAATCATCAAGATATTTCGTGTTGTTACGGAACTATTCACAAAATTTCATTTTAGAAAGCTGTCCTCAGCCGACTTTATTTTATAATAAAACAAAAACCTAAGGATTTATCATTCCACTAACTAAGCCGACAGGGTTAAAAAATGTGGAAAACGTTTCTGTTGAAAAAAGTAGTGTAAAGTTTACTTAATTGAAATATCAAACTACAATGTACGAACTACAGAAATTTTTCGCATCCAAGCAGAAAAAGTTATTAAAACATCCTAAAATATCCCTGCATTTGCTGAATGAAACTTACGAAATGACAATAATAATCAGGATACCCGCTAGAAATCTCTTCTTTCATACAGCGTTATAGTGGCAACCCACTATAATGTACTTAAAAATTAGACCCAAAGTCGAAAAGCTGTTGTGATACAGAAACAAAGCAAGAGCGAAGAGTTGTACACTTATAGAACATGGGCTATTTTCCATACGCGTTCTTTCGCATTTTGCATGCCTTAATGCAGTTAATAATAAATAATAATAATAATAATAATAATAATTTAAAGCTGAAACAAAACGGACGTTGCAATGCTAATCGACTGACAAATATCACACTGCAACAAATTATGTATTTGCATTCTGTGACAGTCACCATATCGGAAAAAATATTCCAAATAAAAGTCGTTGATACATCAAGAAATTTGTTTTTCGAGCAGTTTCTTTCAAATGTGACAAATTACATATAATAATGTGGGATTCGTATACATCTGGGATTATAAACAACCGATACTATAGACTTCACAATTTCAATGTTCAGCGAAATCCGTCGAGTAGTTTAGAAGATGAGAAATGACCCCTCCACCGTGCCAGTGGGCAAAAAACTCATGAAAGGACACGTTGCCTTTAATTATACCATAATCCACTAGATGACTAGACGTTTCTCTTCAGACGACAAAAGCTCAACCTGATAAGAACTTACTAATGATAAAAAACTAGTAACTCACACTTTATCTTACTTAGCCTCTATCATTCTTTTCGCTGTATTTAAGTACGTGGTTTTCACAGTATACAGGTCACACGTATGTCATCAAATTGGAGATTGGTTTCAGATAATGCACTGGAAGATTGTAGAAGGATAATATGATGACTTGCGGGTTATCAGCCCAAACTGTAAATATGTACTTGCTAGACAAAACCAGAAGGATGTACTGTGCCACTGTGAGGTAATCTTAAAGCTGTATCCATTAGAACACATGAAAGCCTGTTGTTCGTTCAGTGGTTGTGGAACGAATGCTTTTACGATGGGTCGTCACTCACCGCAAAATCTTGCGCATGCGCGTATATCAAATTCCTAGCAGGGATTTTCTCCTGGTCTGCGGACTGCACCCATATTCTACAAACGCATCCTTAGCTATTTGCATACATCACTGACCTTAATGTTAATTTACTGCGAAAGCAAAGATATTACTGCCAACCTAATCCCATTAAAACACTGCACAGAATCATAAAATACGCTCTTGTAATCCATTAAATATTTTTTTAACATCGAGAAATGTTTTACACAAAAAAAAAAAACAGAACTTGCGCCACGATAAAAATATTTGTATGATGAGCAGTTTTATTTAAAATTGTCAAAGTTCTGTTCGATCTTCATTAAAGTGTGACTTGGTCGATATGAACCCAAAATTAAATTCGCCCAAGTTTTGTTGCAGACCCCATTAATAAATTTAATCGAATAAGTCAAGTAGTTCTAAGAGATAAAACACGTATGACCTCTCCATCACGCGCCCATGTTCTGAAATTCGTGTCCTACATGAAACTGAAATCTTACACTACACCGCATTAAAATCTAAAATATTTTTCAATGTCGCGAATATCTAGCCTAACAAATTGTAGAAGAAATCATCTGGTTGCATGCAATAGCTCAATGAAATATAGCCTAAATTCACAAGTGGAAGACGCAAATGGAAACTGTGTGTACTGCATTCTTATTGACAACGTCGAACATTATACAACTGTTCCGATGGAAGAACAAACTTACTTACCATATGCCTTCGTGTGCACGACGGAGATTAAATAGCAAATGATCTGTTTCACCGGCTGACAACTCACACAAAGACAAAATCGTCAGTCAGCTGTTTGCATTAGAACACTGTGATACCCGTGGTGGGGATATCTAGATACTCGTATTTGTCTGTCAACACAGAAAACAAAACCATAGGTAATCCTGCATTTTCAAGGGCGACGTAAAAGAATTCTGACAGTCTTGCCATCATTCCGAGATGTATTTCACACTAGCTCATGAATTCAGTTTAACGTGGGGCGGAAATAATAACATAGAACCAAATTCTAGTCGGCTACCAGCACAGAAATTGTGTTGGGTCTCATTGTAGCAGGGCAGGCCTCACTCACTCCCTCTGACGTGTAGGATATTCTTTGAAAAGTCGATTGTATACTCGGCTTGTAAAAGAATAGCCCACATGTAAAATGTGCATAAAGCAACTGTTTACACTAGTAGGATATTAACGCCAAGCGCGCTTCGACCTTCAGCGTGAGGTCGAAACGCGTTTGGCATTAATACCTTACTAGTGTATACAGTTGCTTTATGCACATTTTACATTCCAATACACTACACGGTATTCAAGGTTTTAAGAATAGCCCACATGCCTTATGGAACCCGAAGGTTCGTCAACGTATTCACAAAAGCCCGCCACCGGAATCTATCCTCAGCTAGCTGCGTCCAGTTCGCTCCGATTCGTATCTCCCATCTTAAAGTCATCCTCCCACCTACGCCCAGGCCTCCCAACCACTAACCTGCATACTTTAATTGAATCTCATTCCTGATACCAAATGAGTAGCGAATATAAATTGCTATCGGACATGAACTTATTAACTGAAGGACGTTGATGACTGAATCAGGCCACTGTGCAAGACGCAACATCCAGTGTGTCAAAGCGCTCTGTTCCTTGGCAAACAATGTGCAACAGTGCATATAGACCTAAAACACCATTTGGACGGAGTCTGATTCTTGTGTTTGGCATATTTCACTGGCCATAAAGCGTTGAATGATAGATTCGAAATGAAGCGGTTCTAAACCATTATCCCAGCAGTTGCCTTGAGCGTCTCCGGCAATCATGAGAAATCTCAGACAAGACAGCTGGTTGGTGGTTACTATATCAACGAGGCCAAATGAGGCTCAGTATACTGTATGGTTCTACAGGCTGTAATGGGAACCCCACCCATTACACCAAACTTTATCGATAGCAATGAAACCTTGCCCGTTTAGAACAGTGGTACGTGATAAAGATGAGTGATTTGTTTCACGCTCAGGCCACTTTACTACCATCGGGGAAATATTTACCTGATAATCATTGAGTAGAAGACTGCTAGATGTTCTGTACGTAGCATGGCAAAAGCTGTTTCGAACTTACAAGATTTCATAACGCTTACATCAGCTGAAAACACCACGAGCACGAAACTTTACCACCTTACATGAATATTTGATAAAGACGCCGACGGTCCACGGTCATCTGGACTGCTTAAGTGTTTGTACATTTTTAAAAGCAATGAGTGCAATGGTTTAGAGATACACTTTCAATGGAACAGGTTTTATATAAACTATTTTAGTTGAAGTATATTACTGTGGATGGTGTTAAATGATGAAATTTGAATTTGAAATTTGTTACTGCACGGTATTAAAATGTGGGCGGCGTTTTTAATGAGAATACTAAGAAAACGAATAGTTCTTGGAGTAATATTTGCATTGTCATTAACATACTGTATTTTGAGTTTTTTGCGTGAGGTGAGAATTTTTGTGCATATGACCACTCCGTAAAGTAATCGACATACATTTGAACAAACTGTTCATACTTTATCTAGTATACCCATCTGTCTGTGTTGACACCTACCGAAGATTAGACGTAGAGGTTATGTTCCACTCCTGCTTCACAACAGCTAGGCCAGGGGTTCAATACGCAAAACCATATGGGTACATGAAATTAATGTAGTCTACTTCAGTTTCGCAAAATCGGTGTTGTGATAGTTTAATAAATCAATCACAATTCCTAATTCTGATTCATACCAACCAGCATAGTCAACCTAGTTTACATGTGCTTCAAAGTTCTCATTATTATAGTACAATGAAAAGTGTTTTATCACCTTCTTAACAGCATTGTAAGTCACAGATATTGGAATTGTGTTGGACTTAGTTAAATATATTGGTATTAGCCATCTTCTTACAAATGAATTGTGCTGAGAGTTGAGATTACAAAAGGGACAAGTGCTGGAGAAGTTTCTTTTGTTTCACACTTACACAAGTGAAACAGTTTTGATAAGATGGCTGTCTTCTGGGTTGTAGCACTGTGTAGTCAAAAGTTCACCAATGTTCTAGATGTCCTTGCTGCCCCCATCATTTGGGCTGATGATGGAGGTAGCAAGGACCTCTTGATACATTGGTAAACTTCTACTCGACTACATGGTACCCAGAAGACAGATCTATGGACTCAATGTCGTGGAAACCTCGAATCCTACTTAATTTTGCAGTAAATCTCATGACCACTGATACATGCTAAAGGAGCTAAAATTTATGGTGGCTATTCTAAAGTTGTTTCACATATCTAGGTTGTCATAACTGAAGCCAACTGTCAGTAATGGTCTTCTGGGTTGTGATTCCACATGGTCTTGTGGGTGGTTACCAACACTTTGGAGGGATGTTGGTATCTGCCTGTAAGACCATGAAAGTGATGTCAAAACCCAGAACAATGTAACTGACATCTTCACTGACATGAGAACCTCAAATCTGATATTAATGCTATATACATTTCAACATTTTCTTTTATAGGCTGATGATTCCCTTGACAATGAAATAGAAGCTGTTCCAATAAGAAGGTTAAATCAGCAGTTCTTATGGCATTCTGTTAAGGATGATGTAAATAGTTCTAATGTTAAAGTGACAACATGCAGAAATTCAGTGCAAGGCAAAGTTCTAATTGTAGATGACAGAGGTAAATATTAGCCTGCTGGACATAAATAAATATTATGATCATTAAATATGGCAAATCCTTTCAAACTGCTGCATGTTTCCTAAACTCATACACAGGTCATGTTAAAACTGGTCTTCTGAGCCCTTTCAAACTTTTGACTCATTTCTTATTTCCCTCATGTATGCTACATGCCCCCACCAGCCTTATCTTGCCACCCTAATAACATCTGGTAAAGAGTAAAAATTATGGAGCTCCTTATTTACTATTTATCAGCTTCCCATCTTGTAATCCCTCTTAGCTCAAAGTATTCTCCTATGCAACCTGTTCTCAAAAATCTTCAATCTTAGTTCTTTCCTTAATGTATGATACTGATACTTGTGAGCTTTATTAATATTGATAAATCATTTACCCCACCACAAATTAGAAGAAAGTAACAAATTCTTAGGGTAGTGGAGGTATGAACAGGAAGCATTTTACACATAGCACCAGGTACAAAGTTGAGGTATGGATATGATACAGACCCAACATTCAGAAAGCTTAGATTCCAAGGTTGCAAGATAAGTGATCTATAAATATAATAGCTTTATTATAGTGAAACTTCTCATATGTATGCAGAACTTCACAAAATACCTCTTATATTAATCCTCTAGAGCCAAAGCCCATGTGAATAAATGTAAGAATTCAGTCCATACTGCAAAGAAAACATAACTCTTCACCATTACAAAGATCAACTAGTTTATTCTGTTTAAGGAAATAATCCATTTAGGCCAAGAATCATGCAGCACCATTAATTACAAACTGCAGACTTACTGATTGTTAAAGGTGGTGGTACATATCATAACCATTCAACTTTGAAGGGTTAATCATGCTCTTTTCTTGGGGGAAAAGAAAATACAGCATTTCTGCTTCTTGCCCCATATTAATTTGTTATTCAGACAAACCACATGTGATGCTTCAGCCTAATAGTAGCACAAAACCTCTGCAGTAATGTCACTGAAGGCTGGAAGTCTACTGTCTTGCACCTGTAGACTATTGTCCATCTTCCATACAAGTTTCATGAAGCAATTCATGAGATGTTAGAAATTTTCTTTTTCCAAGACATGTTTATTAGCCTTCATTATTAATTGACCATGTTACATAGAGTCATCAACAGCATAAAAGTTTCCACTAAAATCTGCCCTACATTTCTATTAGGTTCATGTAGGAAACTTACAATACATAAAAGAACAAAACAACAGACAAAAGATTGTCCTGTCGCCTCTCTTACCAGATTACGTTATTCACCTTTTAGTTTCATTACAGCAGTGCCAGGGACCAGGTCTGTGCTGTGCGCGACACCAACAAGCTGTCTCATATTTTAGACATTGCCCTGCCTCATCATGGTTAGGAAGTACAGTTTGACTTCAGGCATGCTTTAGTGCTTTCTACCTTCAAAATACATTCCCAGAAACTACCAACAGTAATTTTGATATCTGAAAACTGAATCAGTATTATTTTAAAGAGAACAATGTCTTCCATATTACCATTTGATGCTATATAACTTATACTGATGGAAAGGTGTTATTAAATAATCCATGAATCAAATGAGTACTGCATGATGCTTGAAGTAGGTACTAGAAACCAGACTTTCAATAGCTGTAAGAAATTTCTTTTGAATTTTGTTTAATTATAAGACATGTTGATGTGCATATTGCAGGCTTTGTTTGCTTTCGAACAGACGTCTTGTCTAGTGGCTGTTGTAATACAGATTCTGAAACTACAAAACGATATTCGTGTGAAACTTGCAAAGAAAATGGATGTTGCAGCATTTATGAGTATTGTATATCATGTTGCTTACATCCAGATAAAGTAAGTATAAGTGTAACTATAATTTTACATGGCAGTATTCTACTTCCTGTTTCTAACCAATATGGACTGAGGGTGATCTTAGACCAACAAATTTGGATTGAGAATTACACATATGCTACTTACTATGTAATTTTGTGCACTTTCCTTCCTTAGCTGATTAGAGACCTTGTTTTGCAATCAAAGAAAACAATGAGTATGTAGACTTAAAATTACACTCACACTGGGGTTAAATTTGGGGAATGATTGTTACCAGTAGATTCAGAATGTCTTATCTCCAAGGAACCTAGAGATGCCCATAAAATTTCCATGGTATTGGAGATTATTTGCCATCGATCATAAATAATTAAATAAACCTTCTGCGCATAAGTTTGTACCTTGTTTTCAAACTTACGTTAGAAACAACTTTCTATTAGTACTGATTCTGATATTTGGCTTATACTCATATTACACTGTACAGTAGATTAATTAGTGTATTGTAAGTCAGTTCAACTAAAGCAAATGTGACTGTGTCCGAGATTCATACAATGAAGGCATATGGGGGAGTGGAGGGAAAAGTCCATACATGCTTAACCTTGGCACTAAATGGAGATGAGTAGCCATCTTACAACAGGTAACCCCCCCAATACCCTTTGGATAGGCTAGGTTGGTTCCAGTAATTCTGGTTGTGATAAAATAAGCTGTGCACCTGGAAGTTAGTAGGTTAAGAAATATTTATGTTACAGATATCAATCATAATGTGAAATAAGGTTTTTCTTTTTTCACAGAAAAATTTATTACAAAGTGTGTTGGGAAAAGCATCAGAAACATTTAATGTCCTGTTTGCCTCAGTGACAGACCATTTTGAACTTTGCTTAGCAAAATGTCGCACAAGTTCACAGAGTGTACAGCATGAGAATTCATACCGTGATCCACGAGCAAAACATTGCTATGGTGAAACCCCTCCTGCTGCTGGAGAAGGACCTGTCCCCTCATGAGACTTGTCATTTTTGTTAATGTGTGTGTGCATTTTGACTTGTAAGGTACATGTGTATGCAGAACTTAGGAAATACACATACATTCATCTACGTGTCTGTGTTGAATGAAGGAAGAATTTGTGGATGGTGAGTAGAATATTACAGTAGCATAAAACATAAACATCTGCATACCTGTAATTTCTTTCTGATTCTGGCAGTGTAAGGACATTACAACATGTGGGACTTCTCAGCTACTAATTCCACAGAAAGAAATAGTATAACATTAAATTTATTTGAACAATTTAATAAAAATATTGGTCTTGCTATGGATATTTCTGTAATCCATATGTATTAAATAGTGTTTACATAAAGAAGGTACACGGATGCTGAAAGATGCCTGTAAAAATAAAATTACAAATGCTGTCAATGTGGATAGTTTACAGGGATATTTTTTCCAATGAAAAATGAGGGTTAGTGAAACATGCACCAACATTCTCCAGGCATGCACCCATAGCATTCCAGGTTAACTTCTGATGAATCAGTACATATACTTTTCCTCATAATACCTCCTCAGACCTCAAAAATACAATTTTGGTTGATCTAACACAATTAATTTGTTGCTTACAGAAACTTATGAGCATCAGATACAATGCAGACTTAAGAAACAGGATTTTGGCCTCTTCAGGAATGCTACATGTGGTGGAAAAAACACTGATAGCAAGATGAAGTGACTTTTCAATGATTGTCAGTGTCTAGTTATTTCTTCATAACTTTTCATGTGTCATCTTCTCCTTATAATGGATATTTGTGTTAGAGATGTAAGAAATAAAATGGTGAGAGGTGTAAGCCGATTGTAGATACAAACTTTACAGTGTATAAAGAAAGAAACAATAAGTTATAACATGGGTGAAAATGTAATTCAAGAGCATAAAATTATGTTGAATAAATGAGTGTTATGGAGATCAAGGAAAGGGTGAAAAGACTAAGAAAGAGATCACTTAAAAGTAATCATAGGAAGAGTGAATAAGGATACATTTCTTTTGGGAAGGCAAAGAAGCATGGAGACATCAGTGGATGTTAATGAACTATGGAAAGTGAATATATTGACTGTTCATTTGTAAATAAACATCTATGCAATTACAATAAGCATCTTCTTTTTTATTCCATCTGTAAAGGCAGCACCACTGGCCTAATTTAAATGTACCAGTGACTAACATTTCAGTTTCCCATTTGAAACATCATCAAAGTTCCTTGTGGTTCCATAAACCCTTTCATCATTCTACAGTTACAAACTGTTCCCACATTCAAATAATCTGTTGTTATTATCCATGGACTATGGTATCTGCAACTTGTCAGTTTACTGCTGCTTGTTCATGGAAGCAGTGGATCAAGTGGGCCAGTCTTATGTCTTGCTACAAGGAAGTTTGAAAACAGTCTAAATGTTTGAGTGCCTTGTTAATGCATTACCCTCACGTACAATATGGGTATATTAGTAGTTCATGTTCAAAAGTTGGCAATATGGATGGGACTGTTAAGTGGTCAGCCCTCCCTTACCCACAGCCCCTAATGTATTTTGGGATAACAAACAATAGGCAAGCTAACAAGCAGTCAGCTGATGGCCACAGAAGACTGTGTTATGGAAAAGTGCTGTATTACCTGCAAATGAGACTAAAGAAAATTGCCTAAAACTCTAGCATCTTTCTTGTAATGATATCCTAAAGATGAAGTTCCCTTGTTACACTACTTTACCACCCCCTCTACAAAACCTGATAGTACAGGGTACCTATGTTCAGTCGAACAGTGTGCTGCTGACCTTAGAATGTGGTCAGTTGCACAGTGAAATAACAAACAGTACACGATTCTCTTCAATATTCTATGAAGTGTCTGTATTTTTCTGATAATCGATTTTATGCTCTGAACACAGAAAATGAATCTTATTCTTTCATCTGTCAAATGGTTCAAATCTGATAACTCCAAGTGTATCTTCAAAATCTGTTTCTCTACGACCTATTATTTTGATATCAATGTCTATGTCTTCTAAGTGGCTTCTTCCACTGACTCTACTTCCACTTATTCTTTTTTTTTTTGTCACCAGTCTACTCTGGGTTCATGTATATTATTAGTACCCACCTATGGTTAAACCTGTGCTTCTGAAAGAAAGCGAAATAGTAACATCGCAATATTATCAACAAATTTTATAATTTATACATAAGTCTGCTGATGTTCATTTTTTTTATTGTCTGTTAACATCAAACATGACTGTAGAAAAAGTAACAGTGTATATGGAAGTTTGTAATACAAAAGAACACTTATTTCAACAAAATAAGTCTCATTTAACATACCTTTATTTAAAACAAAATAAAACCAACCATTCATCATTAATCCACTGTACTCGCAATATGGTAGGTATTGGCATCTGTTTTAACTTCTCTCCCCAATACTCTTAAGGAATGATTCAGCTTCTCGGATCTGCTGCTCCATCCGTTCCTTCTGTGCTGAACTAATGTGCTGGCGGATTTTGCCTTGGATGGAAGCAATAGTGGTACGATAGCCTGTCACATTATGAAACACTCGGACATGCTTCTCACCACCAGTCAGTACATATTTTCCCAGGGAGTCAAACAAAATACATGTGATGGGTCCTGTAAGTTGTAAACATAAATCATGTAAAGATGATCAAGAAATACAACTAGTTACCCACACAAATCCACTAATTTATAGCGATGACATAGATTCCAAAGAAATATTTCAATCCTGGAGAAGGTTTGCAGTTTTCTCAGCATGTTATTAATTATAGAAAAAATGACAAATCACTTCTTAAAACATCTAATACATCTAGACCGATCTGGTAACATTCTCACAACAGATCTCCATTAGTTACGAAAGGCACAACCCTGAAGGAGATAATGTTGCAATTATCCCAGGAAGACAAAAGTTATTTTAAGAGACTGAATTGAGTTTCATACCAAAAGTAAGAGAATGTTGCTCACAAATGTCCAACTAGCATCTTTCTACCTAAGAATAACACAGTTTTGTCTTCAATATGGAATATATACAGTATATTCCCAATTATCCAGGCTAATGAAGGGGAGAACATGCACAAATAATCATGCATGCAGTGCACCTGAAAGATCTATAGAACTGATTCTCATCAATTTAATTTTTAACATAAAGTTAATTTTTATTTTAAGATCGCAATTGGTGCACTACATTATCAAATCAGCCTGAAGATATTATTTTAATACTAAAACATGTTGCCACTAACAAACTAATTGACTGAAGATTTTAATAAAGTATGCTGAAGGAAATAATCACAATACAGCATTTGAATCTGGCTAAGAATGAGCTTTTTCTTTATAACACACTAGTCTTGCACTGAGTATCACTCTGTAGTGGTTGGAACTCATATTCAGTATTCAAGGACTTGAATCTCAGCCTGGAGAGAAGCTATACAGACTTAGGGCAATCATGATTTTCCTCGGTCCCTACAGGAAACTGCTGAAATGGCACATTCCACTTCTTTCCAATTTGTCATTCAAACTCCTCCCACTGTCTGACAAAGTTTAAAAAGTTGCATAACATAACCTAAACAGTTAATCACTACTGTACCACATGTCTCACCTGAATAGATGTCATCAATAACAGCGTCACATTCCCCAGTCTGGACGGAGTAGAAGGCAAGAGAACTGCCACTAGCAACAACCACAACTTCACCATTTGGGGACATCGCTAAATGTGAGAGGCTGCCAACATGATTGTACTTCCCTGATGACAACAGATGAGGGTCTTCCCCTTTCTCATATTCAACTGCAAGTCATTAGAAGAGTTTATGTAACACTCCAAATTTGGAACAGGAAACTATAAACTTATACATATTTTGATAAAAACAATACTGGGATTTCTAGGCCCCATCTTTGAGTGAATGAAAATTTTACATTTAAACCTGCCAATGTCTACATGGTATGTGAAATCTATAAATTTAAAATTGGCAATGCCCTCATTTGTTTTTAATATTCCAAAAAAGGGACACCACTTTCTCACTGTATAATGAAGGTTCTATGTTGTGCTATTCTTCACTTACTCTTGGTATTGAAGGCCCTCCAAGTCCCATCTTTAGACACAGTTGCCATACGAGATGAATCAGCACTGAAGCCAACATCATAAACACCCGAGGAGTGGCCAGTCAGTTCAAATGCACGAGACAGCTGTTGAAATTCGCCTAGCTTTGAAAATCTCACCTCCCATACTTTTACATCTGGAGCAAATCCTAGAAGTCACAATGCATTATGCTCTGAACTCTACAGCACATTCATATAACAAATTCTTATTAATATCAGTAAAGTACATGAACCTTAGAGTGAAGTGGCCAGCTTAGGATACCACATGACAAACTTCATGATATATTCAAGTTGCCTGTGAATAAGTTTGTTAATACATGAGGTGTTAACATTACAAATGGTAAAACATATGCAGGGACTGTTTCTTTGAACCTTACCCTCAGTATGTTTGTGTATTATCTCTACTTATTGTGACTACTACAATCCCCTCAATTTGGTTGTTCTGCCATAGATTAGCCCCATATGCAGCTACAACACTCGCAGAATGCTGGAAAATGTTTCCAAGAACTTACAGGAACCTACCTGAAGCAACTACAAAACGAGCACATGGTGAGATCTGTGCACATATTGTGGTCATGAGGTAGGTGTCCACCTTTGCCAATTGCTCTCCTTTCAAATCCCACACAACCAACTCATTCTTCTCAGAGCATGACATGATATATTTGCCATTGCAAGCAATGCCAAGCCCAACAACATCATCTTCATAATGCTGAAAAACAATTATTCAGCTATAAATAGTGGTAAGAATATACAAGTATAACTGCATCTCAGATGTCTAGAGGTTAGCACATTACATTAATTTAAGACTGGTCTTGTGGGTTGAAATACTGTGTGGGGTTGTATGTTGATATTTACCTACAAGTCCACACAACTTTTCAAGCCAGAAGTCTACCACTGACAGTTTCATGCCTAGAAGGAACTATTAATTACTTAAACAGTGATCTTTTTCTGTGTAAAACATCTATCACTGGTCATTCTGACTGCATAAATTTGTCAGTTACAACCTCAGAGTTTCAAACTACTGCCATGTTTGTTAACAAAATTTGTTGGCATGTTTATAATCTGTCTGCATACAACATTTCATGTGTCAACACTTCCATCACCATCAAACTGAAAGCAAAATAAAATCTTTCCTTAATAACATAATACACACACTTCCATAAAAATACATAAACTGGTTGACACTTACTGGCAGACAGACAACACAAAGATATGAGGTATCATAAGAAATTAAAGAAACAGAACTGAAAGCTTAAGAGTATAACAACCAGGTATCAGCAGATGTACCAGACCCAAATACGGAAACAATTCATACCAAAAACACATTTGGCAAAATTAGCAACAACAATTCAGTCAGTTATGTGACGAAAAACCTGAATTTGGTTCCTGGCAGAGGGAATCATTTTTCTCTTCACCACCACACCCAAACTGGCTCTGTGGCTCAACGAGCCAACAAACAAATGGGAACAAGGAGCTCCTTTCTCAGAAGGTAAAGCAGTCAGAGCATGAAGCTGACCACTCACCTCTATTGCTGCTAAGGTCTAGAATGAGTGGAGCTTTATTTCCATTCTTCATGGTACAGAGGTAACTTCACCTTTAATTCTGGCAATATAAAACACGTAACATAATATCTTAGATGATCTGTAAAGACTGAGGAAAACAATTGGAAACTCAGCCAGGATAAATAAAGCCCAATGGCATTCAAAATAAATGAGTCCGAAATACCTGGGATAACCTGATGTTTTTCTTACATCCTACCAGGGGTCACCTATATGAGTTTTAAAGGCCAAGGGTGGTCCTCAAATTCACAAACATAATGAAGTAGGTAATGATCCGAGAACAATGTCATATTTCTTCTCATAGTGATTAAAGTTAGTTATATTTGTGTGTTTGGTAGTTTGATAAAATCAGAGAAGTCCATTTGTGTTCTTATTTCAAATTGCAGTCTTGTTATACATGATAATTCAATGTGACCCATTGATACAACCTGTTTGGGGATTGGTGATCAAAATTTAGAAACATGAA